ATTTTTTAACTGATTATTTGATTTTTGTATAAAGTTCATGAATATMTGATTGTTTAAAACTTCGAAAAACACTGATATTCAACTCCCACCATTCGGTTCTACAAATACTCATGAGATAGTCAGCCATTTGGGACCTAACAGACACTAGAATCTTAACATATTTTAATAAAATCAACTAGATCGTGGCCATATACGAAAAAACTAGATATTAAAGTGTCATTTCCTTACAAACATTACACACGATTATCTCTCTTGGATCAAGAGTCATTGACAGTTTCGAAAGCGTTTTTATTTTTCTTGCAATGTATTTATTTCACATGAGATACACCGAATCAATCTCTGTATCAAACGCGATTCATGGATGAATTTGAGATTAAAGGTGATCAAGAATCCAGATCCCTTCTTAAGCTTCTCATATTGACTACCTTTCTCACACGATACTTTACCTTGTAGGTATGCATGTATGTGTATTATATATATATATATATATATATATATATATATATATATACACAAATATATCATAAAAAGGGATATGACATTTAAACAAGATGAAGCATATCTAGTGTGTGTGTATATATATATATATATATATATATATACACACACACACTAGATATGCTTCATCTTGTTTAAATGTCATATCCCTTTTTATGATATATTTGTGCCATCTCTATCTTTGAACCTCAACCATTCAAAGATGCCTTTATTATTTTAGACATTTACCTAATTATTCTTCTATTTTCTTTTTTCAAATTTTTATATCATTAATTTGCATATTTTTGTCTTCTAAGTTTCAAAGGTAATTATGTTAAATATTCTTATAAATAAAAAACCCTCAAAAAAGACGAAAACTGTATTTCAAAACTGCTATTATTTCAGCAACGTCAATACAAAAAAACTTGAGAAAAAACAAATTAAAACCCGAGTGTTCTCATGAGTTTACGATTGATCTGATGTGTTGGTAATGTCATATCGAGCATAAGAAATATTGGTGACCAGTGAGGTACATATTTGACGTTTAGGTCAAGTTTTGTTTCGGTAAACTTTCTTGAAATATTCTGCGTGTCACCATAAACTTATATCGACATCAAGTTTATTATTATTTTTTTGTCTAGGAATTTTATTTCGAGTTGTTCAGACAAATATGTCTTCTTTTTGAAAAGATTAACTTACAGAATTTACCTATTTATTTAATTAACATCATGAATTCAAATTATTTATAACCACAAGGATGGTGTCTAATTGGTTTGAGTTTGAGCTCTAAAGGTTAAAAGTGTCTGGAGGTCTCAGGTTCGAATCCAATGAGGAATAAAAATTCTCTTGTGGCCATAGAGGTTCAAATGCGATGATTTTGGACTTTGCGGATGGTCGACCTGAGATTAGTCGGCTCACATATCAGGTCGGATATTCAGGTTAATTTTTTTTATTAAATCACATTTTTTTTTTCAAAAACAATATACGTATCTTATTGAAATGAAATGGATATTTCTAGTCACACATAAAGTTAAAGGGATTAATTTTTTGGATCCCACATACCATTATAGAAAAGTTCAAAGTTTTTTTCTATTAACCTGGATATCCAACCCGCTATGCGAGCCGACTAATTCTAGGACGACCACCTGCTTTGCAGATAGCCCGGAGTCATCGCATTTGAACTTTCGTGACCACAAGGGGATTTTTATTCTTCCTTGGATTTGAACTTGGGACCTCCAGGTACTTTTGACCTTTGGAGCCAAGCTCAAACCAATCAGACACCACCCTTGTGGTTAGTTCAAGTATTTTATGCATTATAGGGTTGGATTTCGGTAAGAAGGAAAGTTATGATGAGAAGCGAAGTTATGGTGAGAAGCGGTAAGGCCAAGCTCATGAGCTTATTATCTCAGAAGAAGAGATCTCCACCCTTGGATCAATCATAGTTGGATGTCAATACTAATAAGGTGCACCGGATCAAATTCCCTTCTAAAGCATAATTCATGGGTGTGAATGAGATTAAAAGTGATCAAATGTTCAGATCTTTTTTTAATGTTTTTCACCGTAACTCCACTTCTAACACGATTCCTCGCCTAATTTGTATGGTACATGATTATTGTACATACATTATTTAATGATTTGATCATGAGAATAAACCGCATAAATCGATATTAAATAAAAATAATTTATTCTGCCGTATGATGTTTTCAGTGTTTCATTTAGGGTTTGTCTGGTTTGATGAAATGTTGTTGAGAGATTTGCATTTTCGTGGGAGGATTTGGAATCTTTGGTGTGTTTGGTTTGTAGGATTTATATAATGAAACTGAATTCCATTCTTTTTAATAATTTATAAAAACATATTATAAAAAATTAATAATAATAAATAAATTACCTTTTTATTAATTGATTATTACAAAACAAATGTTTCTAACATATTTTAAAACATCATTACGAACAAAGTTTACGAAATCCCATGAAACGCCGACCCGACTACCCCAAATGGGATTTCAATGAAATCCCGATATTTCAAATCTAGAAAATTCATTCAAACAAAATATAAGATTGGAACAGAATTCAATTCAAAATCCTGTCAAATCCTGCAAACCAAACGGGATCTTAAAATCAAGCCGATATTTAAAGTGTGTTGCGTAGTAATTGCAGAGCAATACTTTTTATTTTTGCTATCTTTAACGTACAAAAATACTGTTCTCAATCACTGTTATTTTATTAATTCATTTGGCAAATGATTGTAGTTTGTTGGGTCCCCCCCCCCCCTCTCCCGCGGCCGGTCCATACGGTCTCTACTGCATTCCGCTTAGTTTTCAATAACCAGATACATTCTTTCTTAGAAGGCCTTTTATTCGAATTTAATACCTGTTTTCTTAGATTTCAATTCTGAGGTGCAAAGAACTGTGAAAAATCCTACTGTATAAATCTTTTGACAAGATATAACAGATCGAAAAAAGTCTAATCCTATGAAAGAGGTCCACCACACATTCATTTTCTTTTCATGGCTTTCTTGTCTTCCTATTACAAATGTTTGATTGTAAGTTTTGCTTATTAATTCAAAGGTGAATGTGATTTTAACTAATATTAAAATAATGTCGTAGATCCAACGTCGGTAAATTATTAAAATTTTACGTAATTACAAAGACTAAGGATGGTGATATGCCCTGACCCGGTGGGGAACCCGACTCATCCCGACCCGAAATGGGGACGGGGATTCCCCACTAAAATGGGTCCCAGGGCCGGGGTCAGGGGTCCTTGATAGACTCAAACCGGGGTTCGGGACAGGGGCCGGGGATCCCCGGTAAACTCAAACTAACGAATATTCTTCATGGGGTTTGACCAGGGACGAGATATTAGTCCCCGTATCTGTTGAGGACCGGGGCCGGGGCTGTTACTAAGAACCGGGTCGAGGTCGGGGATTACAAAACCCGCCTCATCTCCGCCCCATTCCTATGCCTGACAAAGACTGTAGATGTTTATCTTAAATACTAAGTTACTGAAAATTTCTTTTGACTTTTATGAGTAAGATACAGTTTTCACCAGTCGGATGCTGACCAAAAAGCAAAAAAATTAAAAATTGTTATTACATTAAAATATTCCATTATTTCTACTTGGTATTTATTTTGACGGGTAATTGGTAAAGTCTTGTAACTACTGATGACATGTATGTCAAGTTGTTAAGTTATATTTATATATTTACTGATTACGTGTAACGATTTCATATCAAAATCAACTGATGTGACGCAGACTTAAAACTTGTTTATCGAGTCAAATGAGTACAAATATATAATAGAAAGAAACTACGAGCCTGAACCAATTACATTATTTATGGAATTTCGAATGGATTAAGATCGGTTATGGCCCGACAATGCTGAACCAGTTACATTATTTATGGAATTTCGAATTGCGGTTCGGGGCCGATTATGTTTACGTTCTAATATTTAAAAAACATTAATTTTTTTTTATAAACGATAGAGTAAATTACATATTGTGACCTTATGGTTTATTTGAAGTTACAAGATGCGCACCGTAATTTACAAAAACGTTCGGATTTAGTCCCTCTCTCTAACGGCCGCTGAAAACTCTGTTAAACGAGGGTATTTTCATCCGTTAATCATATTATTGTCTTTTACCCAATCAAAAACCATACGAACCAAAGTCATAAAATTGGATTTTCAAGTTTTTAAAGATTTTTACAAGGTTTTCAAGTTTTTATTTACTTAAATGTATTATTTAAAGGGTATTTCAGTATTAATTTTTAAAAACCGTAATTATAAAGACATGTACAATGTTTTGTGTGGAAAAATCTAGAAAAAACCCGGACTAGACCCGAGACCGAATTTGTAAACGGGACCGACCGACCCGATTTTAGAGGTACCTGTCAGGCCTGGCCTGGCTGGGCCCATACCCATTTTTTGTCATCTACGAAGTAGAGATTACTAAAATACGGTTTTGGACCGGGCCTAAATCTGTCCCACTTTTTTTTTCCTCCTAAAAATCAATCTTAAGTATATAAAAAATCATGTTTGAAGATTTTTTATAATATCTTATTGAAATACACTTTTTTTTTATTAACCTGTATATCCAATCCGTTATGCGGGCTGACTAATCCCAGGGTGACCACCTGTTTTGCAGATAGCCCGGAGCCACCACATTTGAACCTCCGTGGCCACAAAGAGATTTTTATTCCTCCTTTAAAATATATTTTAAAATCTCTAATTGGGTCATCCAAATACACTCAAAATCTTTTTTTAGAATCTTCTTTTTTCGCAAAAATTGTTATAAATGTTTCCTTAACCGGTCTTGAACCGGACCAAAACTCGAATATAAAAATCATATCGGTCCCAACCCGTCGATCTAGTCTAGCACTGATAAACCGGTCCGAACTGGGCCCACACCATCTAAACTTGATGACCCAAAATCAAAAGCCCATTTACTCCTGAAACCCCTCTCTCAAAACTCCCCGGTGTTTCAAACCTTCAAACTTCCGCCGGAAAATTCATCAGAGACCGCAAAAAATGGAGTTTGAGAAGAGAAAGAAAGCCACTTTAGCCACCATGAGTTCGCCGGAGCCGGACAAATCACCAAAAGGAGACATAGATGCACCCATAATCCCACTTCTCAAAACCCTCAACACCCACCCATCTTACTTCACTACCAGCTCTTGCTCCGGTCGCATTTCCATTCTCTCCACCCCAACCGCCACCACCACCGTCAAGAAAAAAGCCAAAGGTGGCAATTGGGTTTTCATCACCCATGAATTCGCTGACCCTAACTCGGTCCAAAATCTCATCTTTCCTCTAAACCCCAACTTCGATTCAACTCAGCCTAGCAATCAAGAAAATCTTGTTTTCAGGTTTGAACCATTGATCATTGCTGTTGAATGCAAAGATGTTTTTTCTGCTCAAAAGTTAGTTTCTTTAGCTATTTCATGCGGGTTTAGAGAATCAGGGATTACAAATGTGAATAATAAGAGGGTTATTGTTGCCATTAGATGTTCGATTCGGTTAGAAGTTCCATTGGGAGATACCCATATGATAATGGTGTCAAAGGAGTATTTGAATTATCTTGTTGGGATTGCTAATGAGAAAATGGAAGCCAATAGGAAAAGAACTGACAGTTTTCATGATGCATTGTTAAAGATTGGGTTTTTGCAACCGGAGATCGATAGCGGAATTGGTGATTATGAGTTCTTGAACATGAATCAAGATTTGGGTTATCAAGATAGCTCCTTGATTAATGGTGGAGAGGATGGTATTCAACCTACAGGAGAAATTAAAGATGACACAAGTAGTGGTAAGGTTGTTCATACTTGTTTTCAGAGGAAAACCGCAAAAAAATGAAAAACCAAGGAACACCCTTGTAACGGTTCATTTGGATGGTATGCACATGTGCATACAAGTAATTTGTAAGCAATTTGTCCGGTATGCACATGTGCATAACATGCACAAGTGCATAAAAAACAAAAAACAACTTCAGTTATTTGTATGCACATGTGCATACCTTCCAGATAAATGGTTACGAGGGTGTTTCTCAGTTTTTCATTTTTTAGGGGTTTTCCCTTGAATCTCCCTCTATAATTTATATATATATACACACACACATATATATGCATAATTGATAATACATGTGATATACAGATTTGCTGCCATGAGTCATGCCTTGAAAAACGTCGTGACCTCGCCATGGCTCTTAAGAATTGAGGCTTGACCATGCTGCCATGTCATGCCTCACACCATTTAGAACCTTGATTGAAATACAATTTGCTAAATCCTATAGTACAAAATTGAGATATAACTACAAAAATAATCATTAAACTTGTCACATTTTGCCAAAATTGTTCATTTTTGGGAAGTTTAGTGCTCGTTTTGCATCTTCGCAAGAATGCTCGTTTCTTTGCAAGCAGAAGTCTAGTATGAAGGTTTGAAAATTAAACGTTGCAATTTTCAAGGGACGGAAGGAGTACATATAGATCGTTGAAATTTGAAATGGTGGGGAATTAGGTTTTAACATTGGTGATGTTTCTTAAGAAGATAGTTGGCCTTTGTTTATTTACCATTTAAACTGATAATTTCATTAGAGTACATTTGGTATATAGACAAGACTGGACAGAACCGGATGGGCACTAGTAAGGTAGGCGGGTGAAAAAATTCTGGAAGGTTTTAGGGTGTTTAGCTAACATGGGTAGTTCAGTAATTTACAATCTTGTTCCATCTCGCTAATTTTTGTTCCACCTACTTTGGTGAGATAGAAAAAATGGATCTTTGTTCCACACACGTCCTGTCTTGTCCGTGTCTGATGTCGCGCCAAACGTGGGACAACATATTTTTGTACGGTCATGTCCCGTACTGTTTCACGTACCAAATTCACCCTTACTTCTTGAACAGAGGGAGTAAGCTAGCTCACAAAGCATTGTTCTTAATACGATAGTTAGGTCCTGTTTGTTAGCAGCTTCATGAGTCTAATGGGACTCACAGCTTATTCGGTTAGCTATACATGACATGACTGTTGGGTAGTGGCTTAATGATATAGAAAGTTGCTTATTCTGTAAGCTTCTAGGGGGAGCTTAATGTAGAAAGCCAAGTTTTTTCAACAACATTCCCTTCCCAATTAAGAAACATGCTCATTCCATATATGAAAAAACTTCCAAATAATAATCTTCCCGATCTATATAGACAGATTAATCCACACAAACAGCTTTATCCATACAGGACTTAGTGGAAAACCAACTTTTTGGACATTTGGAGGGTAAAAGGTCCCCATAAGTTTGTTAGAAACTAATTTTATGTTTGATTACACGACTCTTTTCTTTTAAAATGGCATAAAGTTTGAATCTTTATACGATTTGGCAGGAGTTCTTGAACTTAGTCTTCCTATTAAACCATTGGTGATTACCGGTGAGCCAGTTGAGAAGCTTCATCTATGGGGACATTCAGCCTGCACGCTAGAAACTACGAAAAATCCCAAATCGGTGCTTTTGTTTGGTGGTTTTGGAGGCATGGGAAGGCATGCACGTAGAAACGATTCATGGCTTCTAGATTCAGTATCTGGTCAACTAGAGTTAGTTGACTTTGCAAACTCTCCGCCCCCACGTTTGGGTCACACGGCTTCTTTAGTTGGAGATCTTATGTTTGTGATTGGAGGTAGAGCTGATCCTGGAAACGTGCTAAACGATGTGTGGGTTCTAAGTATAACAAATAACGAATGGAAGCAGTTTCAATGTGATGGAATCGACTTTCCTCTCAGGTGATCACCCGATTATATGCGTATTCTTTGTTATCTTTATCTTCGGTTTCCAAATTCTTTAATATCATTATTATCATCATCGTCTTCTTTATTGATTATTGTACAGTCATCGGCATGCAGCAGCCTTTGTAGGGTCAGACCTCTATGTTTTCGGCGGGATTCACAATGGCATCATCTCGTCAGTGATGTATAGGCTCGATACCCACAACATGAAATGGGAGGAAGTTATCGTTCACGGGCAAAAACCATCTGCACGGCATTCCCACACATTGGTAGCCTACGGTTCTGAACTATTTATGTTTGGAGGATTCGATGGGGTGAAAGCACTCGGAGATCTCTACAGTTTTGATGTTCATTCATGCATTTGGAAGAAAGAAAAGATGACGGGAACTACACCTTACGCACGTTTTTCACACACGATGTTTGTGTATAAAAACTATATCGGTGTTATGGGAGGGTGTCCAATCAAACAGCACTATCAAGAAATATCAATATTCGAAGTGGGGTCGGGTTTATGGAAGCGAATCAAGTTGAATTCTATTGGCGAAGATCTTTTTGTTCGTTCCACGACGAGTGTTGTTGGTGACGATCTTGTTATTGTTGGCGGTGGCGCTTCTTGTTATGCATTTGGAACCAAGTTTAGTGAACCAATGAGGATAAACTTGCTTCCGTTATTATCTTTGGCTGAAATTCGTGATGTAACCAACGATGAAACAGATTCCCGAATCCAAAAGAGATCAAATGGGGGTTTTGATATGAATCTTGAGGGTATATATGGTAGACAAAAGATAATTCCTTTGCGTTGGGTTCTACGAGTTGATAAAAAGCATGCGAAACCAGCAAAGGATGTATTGAAGAAGTTTGGATGGTTAGATACCGAGAGAAAAGTATACACACAGGAAAACGGGGTTTATGTTTGTTTCCCGATCACCAAAGAATTCATGGTGCTTTACCAAAATAAGAAATCGGGTTTAAACGAAGAAGTAGATGAGGTAAATGACCTTAATTTTCAAGAAATCTTGAAGATTAGTTCGAGCACAAAAGCCTTGTATCTTTTGGTTGCATCGGGTGCAATGGTTCATGCTGACCATGTTGTTAAAATTCGAAAAGCTTCAAGTTCCCCATTGAAAGTAATGAAAGAAGCCGTTGCTTCTTTGTTGAATCGTCACAATTTGCCTTCTGATCTCTTGGAACAACTACCCGCAAGGTATGGAGCTTCCATTTTTTGCCGTGATGCTTTTATTTGAAGTATAATATATATATATATATATATATATAGAGAGAGAGAGAGAGAGAGAGAGAGAGATAGAGAGAGGGAGGGAGGTTCAGGGAAAACTCCACAAAAAATGAAAAACTTAGGAACACCTAATAACCGTTGATTAGTACAGTAACGTGCATAGAAACCAGGAAACATCTTCGATTACTTTTATGCACGTGTGCATACAAGTAATTGAAGATGTTTCCTAGTTTCTATGCACGTGTGCATACTAGAAAAATTACTTATAAATTACCTATATGCACATGTGCACACTGTACAGATAAATGGTTACTAGAGTTCTCCTTAGTTTTTTTTTTTTTTTTTTTTTTTTTGCGGTTTTCCCCCGAACCTGACATTTTATACACACACACATATACATATATGGCAAATGCACTTGCACACTCATCATCTTCTTTGGTCCATCCGCGGTGTATTTGTGGTTTCAGTTTAAATGCACACTCCCCCCTAAGTGGCTTGTATAGACTCAACTCATATAGGCTCATGGAGCTTCATAGCCTAAGTCAAACTAGGCTTGAGCTTGGCATAATAATCAAACGAGCCAATTTGTCTTGTCTACACTCATAGGTGAGATTATTTTGTGTTCTTTGTTCTCAGATGGGAACGATTAGGGGACATTGTTGTGCTTCCCATGACTTCTTTCAAGGATTCCATATGGGACTCACTAGGGAATGAGCTTTGGTCTACCGTGGCCGAATCACTTGGTGCTCGTCGCCTTGCTCGACAAGTAAGCTTACATTCTAAAACATGCATGTTTTTTGAAATATATTTAGAGTGAGGTTCACGGGAAAACCCCCAAAAAAATGAAAAATTGAGAAACACCCTAATAACCGTTCATTTATATGGTATGCACATATGTGCATACAAGTAAATTGAAGACTTTTCCTGGTTTCTATGCACGTGTGTATGTTATGCACATGTGCATACTGGAAAAATTACTTACAGTTACTTGTATGCACATGTGCATTCCTCGGTTTTTCATTTTTTTTTTTTTTGCGGTTTTCCTCTGAACCTGATCCAATATTTGTGTGTGACACAAAACTCATGTACCCTACTCAATGTTGATGTGGTTTGGATTCTTGACCTCCAGGGAGGTTGGGCTCTACCTCTAACGAGGGTACCACTGGGCCAATAACCCTTCAGTTAAAACATGCATGTTATGTTACACAATATCCTAGTTGGTTAACGACAAATGAAACTTGATCCCTTAGGGCAGGATTTCAGCCACTGGAACAAGAGATAGCGGGTTAGAGATTCTTGTTGGGGACGACGGGTGGGTTGATCATCGTGAAAATGGGGTTCTTTATTCATTTGATGCTACCAAATGCATGTTCTCGTGGGGTAATCTCTCCGAGAAGCGTAGAATGGGCGAGCTTGACTGCAAAGATGAAGTTATCGTAGACTTGTTCGCCGGCATTGGATACTTCACGTTGCCGTTCCTTGTCAAGTACGCATTTTTCTACTCATTTCTTGATGACAAATACCTCCTCCGTCCCAAAATGAATGTCCACAATGAAAAAGACACGATTTTAGAAATATGTAATTATTATACTTTTTAATTAACCAAATGACAATTTTGCCCTTAATACAGAGGGAGTAAAGAATTTCTCCATTTCACAATTAAGGGTAGAATTGGAAAGTAGGCACTTGTTTTTGAAATTGGACATTCCCATGATGTACTACTATCCACCAAACCAAACGAGCCTAGTATATACTGCGTGGAGGTGGGGTCTAGGGGTGGGATGTACGTAAACCTGTTCTTTACCTCGGAGTGTAGAGCAGTTGTTTCCATGTTACTACTATCCACCGAAGGCTTTATTTACACGGCTTATGAGATATTTATTGTGTAAAAATTTCATTATGGTTTGAATAGGGCTAATGCGAAAATGGTGTATGCTTGTGAATGGAATCCGCATGCTATTGAGGCTCTCCGGCGTAATCTTGAAGCAAATAGCGTGGCCGATCGATGCGTTGTTCTTGAAGGAGATAATCGTGTCATGGCACCTAAAGTACGGTTTCTTGTTTTCTATTTTTAATCTTTACAGTTAATCTCGTCTTAAAAGAACAAAAATGATGCATATTTGTAGTTGTATTACCAACTTGGTGCCATAACAATCGCGACTTTTTTAGTTCGAAACAGTTTTAGGAAGGGTCGACTTGTTGGTAAATGACTAAAATACCCTTTATGACAGATAAACAAGAGAATCTTGTGGACTTGAATGCAATGGGCAAATGGGTAATTGTAATGAATGTCCCCTTTTACTTTTGAGGGTCAATCTATTACTTCCTCAATGTCGAATCATAAGAACTCTTTTACAATTTGAAGTCTTCTTTTGTTCCGTATGTAATACTTTATGTACATTTGAACCTTGTTCTCGTTTTTTTCCTCGAATTTGGATGAATTCTTCATGAAATTTGAAGCCAAGAGCGTTTCGTTTGACTTCAAGAGTCAAAAGAAGTCAAAATACTAAAATTTTGACTTTTTTTTTCAGGGAGTTGCTGATCGAGTGAATCTTGGTTTGCTGCCGTCGAGTGAGGGTAGCTGGGAAATAGCCGTAAGGGCATTACGGTAATTTCACTCTAGACATACATCAGGACTTCTATATTCCTTAACAGACACTTTTGACTTTCATGGTCAAAATGACTAAATTTCGACGCTCAAATTCGTGCGAATTATTTAAAGATTTTCAAGAAAAGTTTTAATAGTTGCATTAAACTTTATGAACCAGACTGGAAAGGCAAGAGTGAGGTTGGGTGGGTGAAAGAATTTTGAATGGTTTAAGGTTTTAATTTGACATGGGTAGATTAAGGGGCCGTTTACTAAACGCTTACCTGGTAAGCGCTTACCGAGTAATTTTCCTTATCTGATGAACATGGCAAGGGTCAAAAATCTTACCCGGTAAGAGCAATGATAAAGATCGGTAAGTGAGTGTGACGACTCTTACCCGGGTAAGTGCTTACCAGGTAAAATGTTGCATACGCTACCATTTTAATGTACTACAATCTTACCCAGTAAAATAAATTATAGTGTTGACTCCTAACGGTAAGTGCTTACCGAGTAAGCATTTAGGTAAAAGGCCCCTAAATCTTGTTCTATCTTCTTGATTTTTGTTCCACCTATTTCGATGGGTCAAAAGAACACATTTTTGTCACCCTCAGTCATGTCGTGTACTAGTCTAATGCAGCGCCAAAAATGGGACAAGTTTTTGTTCTTGTTTTGTCTCACGTACCAAACGCACTCTTGGTGTTTATATATATATATATATATATAGGGTTGGGTTCACGTGAGACTAGCCTGTTTTCGTGAGACCCGTGAGACCAGCATTTTACACGTAAACTTCACAGCAAAAACACTGTGAAGGTTTTAAAAAGTCGAACCTTCACAGCAAAAACACTGTGAAGGTTTTAAAAAGTCACCTTCACAGCATTTTTGCTGTGAAGTTTACGTGTAAAATGCTGGTCTCACGGGTCTCACGAAAACAGGCTGGTCTCACATGATCCCAAGTCTATATATATATATGAGAATAATCGAATGAGAACCCCGTATACTGTGATAACTGTTATCTTAAGGTATTATTTCATATGATTTTTTTTCATCTAATGCTAGAATAGAATTTTAATATATTGATTAACATATATTTGTTTCACAATGTGTTTGTTTCATATGTATTTGGTTCACAATGTGCAACTTTTTAGTTGTATTTTCTGTTTTACAAACACATAAAAAATGTTCACAATATGAAGCAAATATATGTTAATCAATACACTAAATCCAAGCCATAGATGGAAAAAACCATGTGAAATAGCACATGATGCACCGGTTCTCAAGGTTTACAAATTTTTGGGTTCTTAAATGAAGCCTCCAATTATATATGTGTGTGTGTGTGTTTTTCTAAAACATATCGCTTTGCAGGAGTAACGGTGGGATGATGCATGTTCATGGTAACGTGAAGGACAAGGAAGAAGAATCGTGGACAAAACAAGTCTCGAAATCCATTAAAGAAATTTCAAGATCTGAAGGTAAAGAAATCCCGACGATATGTAATCCCACGTTCTTTAAAAACGCTTAGAAAAATCTGATCTTTTTCGTGATTTGCAGGTTATGATTGGGATGTATCGATAGAACACGTAGAGCGCGTAAAATGGTATGCACCACATATCCGCCATCTTGTAGTAGACATAAGATGCAAACAAATAGAATCATAAGATCAAGAAACCACCACCACCACCGGCCACCACCACCCCGCCACCCTACCGCTGCCTATTTCTATTCGGGTTTTTTGTGGCATCTAGCTGCAAGATCGGGAGTGCACTAATTGTTTGGCGGATGCAAATTATCGTGTACATTTGTAGCTAAGGGTGTAAATTTCCAATATTTCAAATACTTCGTACAATACCCGAAAAACCTTATTGGGCGTTTTTCATACGTGTTCTAGCCCTGTTGTTGGGGGTAAATCGTCGTTAATTTGTTTGTTTATACGTTTACGACAATTTATTGAATTAAATCTCTTCAGATCATTTCTTTTTTCTCGCCGTATTACGTAGGCTATGTTTGGTAACCATAAGTTCGTGTACCTTTTTCGAAGACAATTCAAGTAGATGTTTTAATTAGAGTTGCCTGATCGGGCCGGGCTTTGGCACCAGAAAGGGCCTTATTGGGCTTCCTCATACTCAGGCTTTTTCGGGTTTAACCAGGCTTTTTCGAGCTTAGGCTACCACCAAAATTTATCGGGCTTTAAGGCTTGAACCGGGCTTTGGGCTCATTGGGCTTTTTTTGGACCTACCTTGGCCAATGCCAGGCTTCGGGCTTAAGCTTAGGCTTTTTCGTGGTCTCTAGTTTTAACAAATCAGGGGGGCGGGGGGCATTTTTCCAATTAGGCCGCGTATATGGTTTCTTAATTAAATTTTCAACATGCAGCTTGTTTTTCTACCAAACATGACTAGTTTATCAGTTAGTTTGTTAAGCATGACATAACTCTGTAACACTGAAGTCACGAGTTTTTATTTGAAAACAATTTTTAGAAGTAATCGACTTAATAATATGTAATAGAGATGATCAAATTAGATCCGATCTGGTTTGAGACCGGTTATGATCGAACGGTTCGGAATCGGTTACAAATTTTATCCGAATTAAATACACACAAACATGAGTGGATACAAATGGACATGTGGAAGCAGTGGGTCCCACAAGAAAAGTCATAACTCCACGTGGCATGTACACTTGGCCTTGAAAGAATCTTTAGTTTTCTTTTCAATTAAAACCACATGGACCTGTCCATGTATATCACTCTCGGTCACAATAAATGCTCTGACACGTGTCAGAGTTTATTGTTTTTTCTGTTTTAAAATGAACACCGCACTGTGTTTATATTTAGGCATGGGAATGGCTTCCGACCCGTCGGGAACCTGATACATTCGTTCCGTTTGAAGATGGGGACGAGGATCCCTATTTGTTTCAAACCGTGAATGGGGATGGAGGCAGGTATCGTACTCCTCATCTCGTTCTGTACCTGTTATATATATTATTAATTAATAAATTATATATATATATATATATATTATGTATTTAAACTGGTAATTCATAATTTCTTATTTTCTAATTAGGTTTATAAGTTTTTATCAAATATTTTATCATAATTTCCTTGTCATTTCCTGTTTTTGGATATATTAATTATGTGCATATACAATACATTGAGATGTAAAATAATTTAAAGACAAAAATAGTAATTTTCAAGAAATCATAGGTACAAAAAATTTAGGGATCGTTTATCAAATACTTACTCGGTAACTGTTTATCGGTAAAATTTAATACTATCATTTACTTACTGGGTAATATTTTAGTCCACCAAAACGGCATCATATGCAATAATTTACTCGGCAAATGCTTACCATGGTAAAAGTCGTCGTCATCACTTACCGGATAAGACTCTTGGTCCTTGTCTCGTTCTTATCGGATAAGATTCTTGTTTCTTAACATATTCATCCGGTAAGATATCTTACCTTAGTAAACACTTACCCAAATAACTATCCGGTAAATGGCCCCTTAGCTTACTCTTTATTTTGGAACACAAGCAGTATTACAATATCTACAACAGTTATATTATTTTAAAATTTTATAGATTTAAAAAAAATGTTTCAACAATTATGTTAAACTTTGTAAAAAAATATCTAAATTCAAATATATATATATATATCTATATATATATATATATATATATATATATATATATAATAGAGAGAAGATGCTAATGATCAATAATGGAGGCATTTAATGGAATCCATCAAGATTCATATTAATTATTAGATGTTGACTTGGACCCTACTTATTAATAAATAATTAAAAAAGCAATTATTTTTATCCATTTTTCAACAACTATATAAATCTTGGCCGTTGATCTCTAAATATAGAGTAAATTACGTTTTTAGTCCCTGTAATTTGTTAAAAAAATTATTTTTGTCTTTATAACATTGAAATTACAATTTTCATCCTTATGATTTATAATTTATTATTTCTTTTTTTTTATGATTTAAAATCTGTTGTTTTTTTATCGTCTTTATGGTTTTCAATTTATGTATATTTTAATCATTTATACTTAAAAATAGTGTTTGGACTCAAGAACGAAAATAAAAATGAATTGCAAACTATATAAATGAAAACCGAAATTTTAGAACCACAAGGACAAAATTAGTAATGTTTAATAAATCATAGGGATGAAAAACGTAATTTACTTTTAAATATATATTTTAAATTTGTGAGTCGTTTACCAAACACTTACACGGTAAGTGTTTACCGGTAAAATTTATTACTATTTACTTACTGGATAAAATTTTAGTCCATCAAAAAGACATTGTATGCTACAATTTACCAAGTTAGTGCTTACCGTGGTAAGAGTCTCGTCTTCACTTACCGGGTAAGATTCTTGATCTTTGTCTCGCTCTTACGCGTAAGATTTTTTTTGTCCTTGCTATATTCCTCCGGAAGGTAATGTGACTTGGTAAGCCATTACTTGGGTACACGTTTGGTAAACGACCCCTTACTTTAATGAAAACCCATATTTCAGAGAAAATACTGATACTTAACTTGCCTTATATATGACCAATATGGGTTTTTTTTAAGAAATAGTTATACCGTTCAAATCAGTCAAACCAAATCATTTTTGATAGTTTGAGTGGTTTTACAGTATGAGTCAGTCTGAAAAATAGTCAAACTGTTCAGTCCATTCTAATTTAAATGTTTTTTGAACGGTTTGGATTGAATCGAGCATGAATATGTACATGTATTGTTATGTGATAATTTCTATCTCTATAAATATAAATATTAAAGTTTTTTAATTGGTTGGAATATATATTATATTAAAAAAATATTTCTATTTAATGATAAATATTTGGACAGATTGTATAAAAAAGTAATGTACTTTAACTTAATTCTTATTTTGGGTAACGTACTTTCAAAACTTTCAGTTTGATTTCTAAGATGTAAAGTTTTAAACTTTTAACTACCCAGGTAACCGGTTGAAGCATTAACCGGTTATCATGCTGAGATGGTATCCAACTCAGTATTATTTGCTGAAGTAGTTAGTGACATGTATTTTTTTAATCAAAAATTAGTTTTTTATCTAAAATTAGTCTCACTCGGTTACCCGAATACTTAAATGTTTAAAATTTTACATCTTAGATACCAAAATTAAAGTTTTAAAAATACGTTATTTTTTCATACAATTTATCCTAATTATTTTAAATAATTTTTTTTAAATTTATAGAATTTCATACACTGTTCTCTCCATTTAATAGGAGACGATATTATTTTATTATTTTTCTTTTTCTTTTATTTATTTTAAATCCCAATAAAAAATATTAATTTTTTGAAAATTGTGGGTGTTGCTGAGTTTTAATTATTGTAGCAAGAATCTTATCCTATATTTCCTCAGTCTTAAAATAAATGTCTGTGTTATTTTTTTTATTTTAAAATAAGTGTTTAATTTTTAAAAATAATTTATATTTTTTTCATTACTCTTAATTATGTAACAAAAGAAATCTCTCTCTTTATAAGTAAGGGATAAAATTGTCTTTTTATTAATTTAAAAGTGTAACAATTATACATTTTTAAAATTATATATTATAAAATTTAAATCAACATCTTAAAAATATATCAATACTTTTGAAATTACAGTTTTTGTCCGTATGATATGCATTTCGTTATCTTTTTCGTCTGTAGCTTTTATGCCATTTAAAAAAATTGTTAACGAAAAGGGTATTTTAGTCTTTTCAATTATTTCAAATATTATTTGTTGATTTCTTTTGTCTTTGAGCGTCTTCCACAGAAAGATTTTTATCAGTGAAAAGTTTTTGAAATGTTTTTAATTTAATTTTATATATTAAATTTTTTTAATCAATTTTATAATCATTGAGTTATACTCATACAGTCACACTACATATAAATATTAAAACATTTTTTAATCACAAAATAATGTTTGATTGGTTTGAACTTGAGCTTCAAAAGTCAAAGTATTTGGAAGTCCCAAGTTCGAAATCCAAGGAGAAGTAAAAATCTTTTTGTGCCCACGGAGGTTCAAATACGATGACTTCGCGGATGGTCACTCTGAGATTAGTCGGCTCGTATAGTGCATTTAATATCTAAGTTAATCAGAAAAAATATATTAATACTTTTAATTTTAATTTTTTATATTTGAATTTGATTAAGAAAGTGATATTAAAATCAAAAAAGAAATTGTTACTTAAAATGTACATAATGGAAGATGAGTACAACATCTAAAGCAGTAAGTACAAGTGATGAATGCACGTGGGACAAGGCGGGTAACGTAAAAGGAAATGAAAAGGCACGTGCGAGGCATGAGGGCGGCTAATAAGAGGCACGTAGCTAAAGAAGCCAAAATAGATAAGAGAAAAAGACGTTGATGATGGGCCCCACACATATTTAAAAAAGACAAAAAGAAAATGAAAATAACAATAAGAGTACACGTGGCCCTAGTTGAGACTGTCGGTGGTCTCGTCTCTATAGCATGGTCCTCTGTCTAGAAACAGACAAAAATAATCCTCAAATAAATGTAGTTTACGTAAAAACCTATATATATATATATATATTATAATATTTTACATTTGTACAATCAATACAATTTGAACTTAATTGTCCATTTAATTTGATAAATATGTGATTTCATAAAAGTTTAAATCGTTTTATAAAATAAAATATTGATCATAATTAATAAACTATAGTTATCTTTCATAAATATTCAAATCATAATAAATAAATTCTTATTATTTTTATAAATATATCAATTGATTGGGTTATAATGCTTATACAAATGTGATGTGTTGCATTTAAAACGTTTTCTATATATACGTATATATTTTGAGTTTTAGCAAAAAAGGAGGATTTTTGAAAAATATATTTATGTAGAAAAGTGGTTTCTGCGTAAATTTCGGGTAAAAAAGTTTTGGGTAAAT